TTTATTAAGTGCATAATAGATAAGCTTCCAACCTTGGAAGAACTCAACAGAAGAAGGCCTGATATATACACAACAGTAGAATGCCAAGTATACCAAGAAAAAGTAAAAGAAATACAAGCATATTTGGCAGCATGCAAGGGGAAAAAAATCTCTGAAAGAGAATTCAAAAGGTAACCATTGCAATAGCATGAAAGAAACTAAAAGAAGAAGAAAAGATCTGAATTCCTCCACATGTGCTATATATGGCACTCTTTGGAAAAACAGAAAGAGAAAAAGTCAAAATAAGAGAAGCACTAATAAAAGGCCTAATCCCAAAAGAAACATATGATAAACTGGCACAGCTCTTAAATTCAAAATCAAGATAGCAATTTCTAAATGCAGTAGCAATAACAGCCTAGAATACATTTTATAAACAAGTATGAAGAATACAGTGTGAAAAATTATCGAATAGGAGAAAAAGATTGGAATAATAGGAAAACTAAAAAGAAAAAAGATGAAAAGCTAAAGGAACTAAGAAAACAAAAAAAGACAAATCAAGAAAGAATAAAAAGGAAAAAAGAAGAAATAAGAGAAAAGGGAAAGCAAGTTGAGAAGGAAGTAATAAAAACAATGTTGGGGCTTGTCATAGAAGGGTGAAGACCCTTCTATTATGGACTTTAAGTAGTTAGACAAGCAGCTTACTTCTGCTCAAAGTAATGCAACAGGTTGCACTTAGGTACCAGTAAGGTGGCCAGGTGATGCTAGACTTAGATATTAGAGATATTTATATAATTACAAATGTAATTTCAAAAACTTAATAAAGTACTAGTGTGACTGCTTATATGTTAAAAAAAAAAAAAAAAAAAAAAAAATAATAGGAAGATTTATATGAGACTAAGTTTGGGTTATAGTATTGGATTAGTTTAGATATAAGATTTGAGTAAACCATTTTGGTTGACAACCTTTATTAGGTTTGTTTATGCATAAGTAGATATTGTTCCATGAGAGAATATTTTTGTTATTCATGGTTATGATTTGTTCTAAAAAAATAATTTTATTATTTTTAAGACTATTGATAATAGAGATAGATGAATTGGCAAGAAGAATGTCATAAATAATATAAGTGTTTTTTGGTATTGATGAAGGAAAAGATGTGATTTGTGAGATTATTGAGGATAAGATGTTATTTAAGGCTAGTTAAGAAAGATGGAAAAGTAAAATGTAATTTTGTATTTTTCGATAATGATTAGTTAAAGTTTTGTATGAAAGTTGAGGTGATCATATTTTGGTAAACCATCCTTTAATTTATTGGATGCCTATATTTTTAAGAATTGGTAGTATATTAAATATCTGTTCAGTATTAGCTGTATTGACTTTTTGGATAATGTTGTTGAAGGTTGACAGATTAAAGATGAGTGTGTTTGTGAGGATTATATTGTTAGTATTTTTTGCTAAAAAGAGTATTTTTTTAGTATAAATAATAAAAAAATGAGAAAATTTAGCTTGTGTATTTGTATGAACTAGAATAATTTAAAGTAGGTATTTTAAAGAAGATTGAAGAATTAAGTTGAAAAGTGATGAAATTTGTGAGAATGTTATTTTTTTATATTGAATAAAAGTAAGGAAGCTTTCGATTTTATTTTGAATTTGGTTAAGAGTTGGTTTAGAGGATCTTTGGTCATCATAGAAAATACCAAGTTATCAAATTATATCTTGAGGTTTTCTAGGTATAATGTTTTGTTGATTTATTGAAAGAATAGGAGTTGAGTTTAGTAGAAATTTGGGTTTAATGTAAAGAAGGTCTGATTTGGTAGTATTAATTTCTATATTATTAAATTTATATAATTCAGAGATATTATTTATGATATTTTACATTATATTTGCATTTTTACAATGCTAAGTAGTGTCATTTATAAAAACCAATGATGAGATTGTTATTAGAAAGGATGTTGTATTTGTTATAATATCAATATGAGATTGACATGAGATTTTTAATAAGTGGTTTTGGTATTTTTTTTGAATAAAGTAAAGTATAGAATTATAGTAAATTTTTCATAGAAGAGGTGAATATGTTTCATTTTGTTTAATTCTAAAATTAATTAGTATTTATGAGGTAAGACCATGAGCAGTAATTATTCTAGCAAATTGATGGGAATGTAATTCTGTAATTAGGTTAATTCCTGTTAGAGGAATTTCTATTTTTTTATAAGTATCTTGAAGTCTTGTTATATTAATTTTATCAAAAACCTTGAACATATCTTGAAAGAGAATCTAAGTTTCTTTATTAGTAGTTTTATAATATTCAATTGTGTTATGTAAAATTTGTATAGGGAAATGTGTAGAGGAGTTTTTTGAAACTGCAAAGTTTAGATTTAACAGAAGATTGTTACAAGAGATGATGTTGTCTAATCGATTTGTGAATATTTTAATAAAAGTTTTTTTGAAAAGTTCTATTATAAAGATATTATAAAAATTAATTTTAAAAAAATTAACACAAACAAATTTGCTTATATTACAATTTAAGAGATAAGTACTAAGAATATGCTATAAAATTAGTACTAAAATCTAAATAAATTTTGTAAAGATAAATTTTGTTAATGTTTTATAAAAAATAGATAGTTTAGTTAATAAAAAAACTCTTTGTATAATAATTTAACAGATATATAAAAAAAAAGATTAAATATTAAATTAAATAGCATTTAAGTATATGAAACTTATATACTATCTGTTAAGTATAATATAAAAGTCAAAATGTTTAATTAAGTAATTTTCTAACAGATTAAAGATATAACAACTAATGAAAAACCTGCTAGCAAAATACTTAAATAAATAATCAAAAGTTGCACTATAGCAAAAGAGTGCAATAAGCCAAAAATTTTAATTTTGTAATTTTATAAAAATTAGTTCATTGCTCTAATTTTTCAAAAAATTGAGTTTAGAAAAAAATTTTTTTTTTCTCATTGCACCCTTTTGCTGTAAAGGTTCTCATGTATAACTAGTTACACACTCACTTTGTACAAATTATATAACCATAATTAAAAACACATAAAGGCAGTAAATATCAATAACAGCCTTAGCAAAAGCAAAAATATATATATATATATATTTTTTATCAAATTGGCTAAGCCACAATGTCGGTCATCTAAATTTAGACTTGTCCACCATGCTGTACCAGTTAGGTTACTTTTTTAATGCAGCGGGTTATATAGATATCAAGAATACAATTTATGCCAAATTTGTGTTGTTCGGCTCAAATTATACATTTAATTTTGCCCGAAGTGATACTGTTGCAGCAGTAGAATTTCCGAAATTTTATATATACTTTTACACGTGTCGAATTTTTTGTGGTCTCTTTGGCTTATGGTAATAGTGTTATGACGATCATAAGTTTTACAAATAACCTTTTTGTCTTTTAGGTAGTTTTTTACATATAGGTAACCAGATCATGACAACCATTTCTGCTGGAACACACCCCGGTAAATTTAAGCTCTTTATATTTCGGATTGTTGCCTTTACATTATACTGAGCATCGTTCGCACTAGGATTTGATAATGCACCCGTGACAAAGGGCCTTCTTTTATGTGTTGGTGGTTGCTCGTTAGTTGCATATTTTCTTGAATGCAGACATTTAACTCATTTACAACTCATTCCTAATTTGACGACAGAGTATGAGGTGTGGTTTAAATGTTTATACGGAACAGTTGTTTTCTAAAGTATCTTACGATTAATTCGTCTTTACCCTTGTAGTTTTGGCGATTAATAACATCACAATGTATTACTACAACCTCGGGTGATTATTTTTTTGGAAGTTTAGTAATGTATCAATTAAGGGTGATTGAACGCCAATTTGGATCATCAAAATATGCGGTGAGTTAATTTATCTTTAACACGATCGGTTTTTAACTTAATTTCTCATAGAACGAGTTTTGTTGTTTTATTTTTGCTAGGCATTCTTTTTAGTAACATCTGCTTTGTCGACGATCTTCGAAATTGGAGCACTTGCCGTTGGCAGAAAATATGGATTGACATCTATTCCGGCAGGGCCTTATGGTTTCATATTTGCAGCACTTTATCAATTTTATAAAATAATTCCACCTAGCAGTCATTACACTTTTCTTGGCATTAATATTAGTAACAAGGCATCCGTATATTTTCTGACCGCTTTACCGGTAAGACACACATACCATTATATCTTATAGTGCCTTAAATTGATTTACGCTACGCATAATGACATTATATACTTTCATTATGGATCACGATATTATATAGTTTATAGCTTTTCAGTCACCTTCATCACTCGTTGCAGCAATGTGTGGGATTTTGGCAGGAGTAATATATCGAAGCAATTTACTAAATATAAAAGAGTGGCGTTTGCCTCAGTTTATAAATCGATTTGCATCAAGATTTATTTTACCCATATTATCGACAACGCCACGTCGTCGTTCACCAGCAATAGTACTGGATCAAAGGGCGCAGCCAGTACAAGACAGAGCGAGAAATCCATCTTCCACGTCATCCGTAACTCGGGTACGTCTAAATCAAAATGTTTCAGTTGCATAACTAATAATAGATGCTAATAGTTGATTCATATCTTTTAGCAACCAATCATAAATGAAGAATATGTAGATAATTTGCGATCGATGTTTCCACAACGATCGCAAGAAACTATAACACGTGCACTTCTTTTATCTGACAATGATATTAATAGAGCAGCTCAATTTCTACTTGATCATCCATAACCAATTTGGATTCAGAGTAAACGAAAGTTTGAAATATACAAGTAATGTTTTAAAATAATACACAACTAATTTGTTATAACAAATCAACACTATTATTAGAAGCATAATGTTGTTTGCAAAGATTTCTGATCAAACTTATAAAAATATATATATTTGAAAGCATTTCATAGGTAAGATTATAAAGCTAATAGACTAAATATTATTACAACTATTATTCGTTATCTGATTGAAAGGTTTGACTCGATATAGTATTTGTTTTTCAGGAAAAAAGACAATTTATCAAAAATAATTGAAAAGCAAAGTTAATTTATTTGCTTTGAATAAATTTAGTTATAAATAATGTGAACATTAAATTTATAACATTTCTGAAATATTAATATATAATTGCTTGTCTAGTTCATGCACTAATCATGTTATAATATTATCTATTTATAAATACTTTGTTTTTTCAGACTGTCTTGCACTATAACTATTATCAAAATGTCGATCATAGAAAGTGACGTAACAATTCGATGAACGGAGTCATAGCAACCAGTTTTAATGGATTAAATCGGGCATAGTTATGCTAGATGACAAATATTTCATCTAAGCGAAGATCTAACGCTAAGGCGTTCCCCACATTTAATATTCTTTCTTCCAGCTAGATTAACTCGGGCCAACTGCATGTTTTGCTTACACATGCCCAAAAAAGGGTGTGACATCCATGAGGATAAAACGTGAGGAGTATTTTATTTGTGGCGAATTATAATAATAAACTGCTTATCTAATATATATGATCTAGGAAATCGTATCACATGACCAATACTTCGTCTTTATGCAATGTCATAAATGCACAATGGTTTTTACAAACCTATTATTGTCTTAATATTAATAGTTGCCGTGGCGCAGAAATCTGACGATATACTCGATGCATATACTCGATGCAGACTGCTCGCTACGCATCGAAAAAAAAACTTTTTTTTCATAATCTACCAAACAAAGAACAATGACGCCTAAATTGTAGATAAATTAGAAATAAAGAATAATCATTTTTCCGAGGATTGTTGGTTATTTAATTATCTGGCATAGTTTTGGGGTTCAGATTTTGGTAATTTAGGTAGCGATGGGGTTCATCGCTTTTTTTTGCTTTCAGACTATCTAATTATTTGATTAAACAAATAAAAATGGATGGGGTTAAAGAATTATAGCATCCGTGCATACAAGCTTTTGGCAGCGAATTGTCCGATGCCACGATTCATTTTTCAAAGATTAACAATAGAACCATTATCAGATTTAACATATGTCAACCATCGCATTGTCTTTGTATAGTGAATTCCACCAGGTCGTCGGTCCACAGGCAAGCTTCGTCGCACTTTCTAAATATGATCCTTTGCATGTGTCACTGCCTGTGACACTTTCGTGTTAATGTTTATATGCAATTTTAGTGTCACCTTTTGGTGATACAGACGGTTGTTCAGAAATTATTCGTCAAATCAAGATTGAGGTATGTAGTAACCAGTGATCATTATCTATTTATAATATCTCGCCGAGAATATTGAATAAATCTTAGCCAAAGCCTTTTTTTCCTTCTTACGCAGGCTCACATACCATATATTGTAAAGAAGAAACTTATTAATTTTTGCCATCTCGCTTCACACACGTGTCATGGCTACTACGGTTTTATCAGATCGTCAGAGGGACGAGCTGTAAGTATTCCTTATTTTTTTGTCCAAAAAAAAAATTAAAATATGTGGTGATTTCCACATCTCTACGTTTATAAAACTTGTTAATTGACTTTAAAGTGTTCAAAGACCGTTCTAAAGTCTTTTATCGTGGTCTCTTTATTGCAAGTACTCATAAAATAACCAATATTTTACATGTTTCTTGTTCCTTTGTTCAATCTTGCTCGGATTCTTTATCATTTTCGATAACTTAATCATGAATGATATGTACACAGTCACAGAGCCATCCTCGATTATCTTTATGCCACCGGTTATACAGAATCGTTCAATACCCTCAAATCGGAAGCAAGTCAAAGTGATTTCAATCCGGATCCTAAACAAAAATATGCCGGATTGCTAGAGAAAAAATGGACGTCGGTCATTCGATTACAGAAAAAAGTATTTATCTGAATTTTATTTTTTTAAAAAAAATTGTTTTTACGCTGAAATTGATTCTATTCCTTTGATATAATTTATTTGTTATCTTTGTTATAAATTTTTGTTATAGTAACTATTTCTTTTTCAAATTAGATAATGGACTTGGAAGGCAAGATTACACAAATGCAAGAAGAACTTAATAACGCTCCTCTTAGAAAGGTTAACAAATCGGATGATTGGGTACCACGAGCTCCTGAAAAATACTCGTTAACAGGACATAGAAATCCAGTTACACGCGTTACATTTCATCCAGTATTTTCCGTATTAGCGTCTGCATCGGAAGATACTACTATAAAAATTTGGGATTATGAGACTGGAGAATTTGAACGTACTCTCAAAGGTCATACTAAATCAGTTCAAGATATAGCTTTTGATCCGAAAGGCAACTTTTTAGGTATATATATTATTTTACAATTTTATTCTTGATTTTTTGTCTTAATTCGTATTTCTACTAAAATTTGAAAGTTGCCTTGTTTAGTTTCCTGCTCTGCAGATTTGACAATAAAGGTTTGGGATTTGCAGAACGATTATAAATGTGTTAAGACTTTATATGGACATGATCATAGTGTTTCTTCCGTTGCATTCTTACCTTCTGGTGATATTATTGTATCTGCTTCTCGTGATAAGACCATTAAATTGTGGGAAATGTCATCAGGGTAAGCATTTGCTAGTTTATTCTTTGATCAATGTTCTTAAGGTGTCAATTTATAAAATCTATCATTTTAAAGGTATTGTACAAAGACTTATGCTGGTCATTTGGAATGGGTACGAATGGTCTCACCAAGTGAAGATGGAAAATGGATTGCTACTAGTTCAAATGATCAGGTTTGTTGCTATATATGTATTTATCCACGTAACGTTACAAAACTGACGCTTGTATAAAAGACTGCACGTCTTTGGGATGTAACAACCGGAGAGTGCAAGATGGAATTTAGAGGTCACGATCACGTTGTAGAGTGTTCGATTTTTGCTCCTGCTGCTGCAATTCCCCATATACGAGAGATGATAGGGCTAGTTGTTGATGTATGTATATGTTATCGAATTGCCTTTATTTAATACATTACTAAAGTTCATTTATTTATTTATTCTAGCCGAAAGCTAATTCCAAAGATCAAATACTTCCCGGTCATTATATTGTGACAGGATCGAGGGATAAGACGATTAAAGTGTGGGATTCGACAGGCCAATGTGTAAAGACATTGGTACGTTATTTATACACTATATTTATATTATGTTTAATTCATTCGATGTCGATATTAAAAATTCGTTTCATGTTCCTAGGTCGGTCATGACAATTGGGTGCGTGGTTTAGTTTTTCATCCTAGTGGCAAATATCTTCTCAGCGCATCTGATGACAAGACCTTGAAGATATGGGATATGAGAACTGGTCGATGCACGAAGACTTTGGAAGCGCATGCTCATTTTGTTACGTGTATTGCATTTAATAAAACAAATCCTGTTGTGGCTACAGGGTCTGTGGATCAGACAGTGAAAATTTGGGCACCATTCAGGTGAAGTTAGAACGAAAATAAAGAGTATAACGTTATGTTATATAAAGAGCTTTCGGTATACAAGTATTCTGCCAATATATTCAAAATATAGATTTTATCTTATTATAAAGGAATTCAGTTATGGTACTTGTTTACACCACTACCCGTTTTTGTTTTGGTTTTTTTCAATTTTTTTTTTTCCGGTTAATCTTTTTTATCAACCTTCAGAAAAAAAAAGTTCTTTATATTCTTTCAATTTTCAAATAAGTGCCAAGTATTTAATAAACGGGTACATAGTGGGGTGATTCTCGTAATATGAAGCCTAAGGACTATGAAAAGCATGTAATAGCTTATGCTGTATAAACGTGATGTATTACTTAAACTGAAATATAAATTTACATATTAAAAGCTTAAGAATCTAGCCATTTGTTCTCTTTAAGATTTGAACACGGCATACAATATGATTATCAACTGATTTTTTTCTCAGCCTAAAAAAAATCGATGGATTTTGTGACCCGGAATTATTTACAGTATATCGATATTGTATACCGGTCAATTAAGATTTTGGTTTATAAACGTAATATCGAAAAATACCGGTAAATACCGTTTGTTTTTGTAACATCGGTACATATTTAACTGGAGTATATTGTACACTTTAAGTAATATTGTTTTGACTTTTGTATATTTTTAGTAACATTGTGTTATTTAGTTTATAACAGCATGTGCGATACTGTAAATATTTTTTTTAAAAAAAAGGCGAAAAATAATAGTGTATAGGGCAAATGCTAATACAATAAACTACATAACCATATTATATGCAGTAATGTGAACTGGAATATTAAAAGGTATTGACCTTCTAATAAGTATAAATTACAATGCTTTCGGTGATTAATCCGTTTATTGAAAGGTTTATTAGAAGTATAATTTTGCTTTTAAGAGGCTGCTTGGTTCATAATTTTATAAGTAGTTTTTATTAGTTTGTATTTACTACGTACAAAAAGGTTTTTATATATTTAATAAAGATATAGTTAATTATATATACAATTTTAGTTATTGTTTATTTAAAGATTCTGCTTTCAATATTCAAACTTTATCTATTAAACTTTAATACTGTATTTTTTATTAATTTAATCTTGTTTTAATAAATTATTATATTTTAAAATTATTTTATTTGATTATAATCATTATTAAAAAATTCTTTATAAGAAAACCTAAGAAAATAATACTGTTAGTTTTACATAAAGTAAGTTGTTTGTTAACAAACTTAAATATATGAAACATTGAGATGCAAATGAATTTTTTAACAAATTTGTATTTTGGGTTAAGTTTTTTTTTTTATACAAACTGATAATTAAATTTATACATAGGTTTAGGTTGCAGATTATATGTCTGAGTCTTTATTCTTCATATGTAATTTAAAAGCAAGCTTTTCTTTGTAAAAACTTCAATTGAATTTCAATAAAGTTAAAGGCATGGCCTCACCGTTAATATTTAAAAAAAAAAAATTAAATTTATACAAACTAACAATCAATTCATACAAATTAACAACCAAATTTATACAAACTAACAGTCAAATTTGTACAACCAACAGTCAAATTTGTATAAATTAACAATCAAATTTATATTGCTATAAAATAAATTATTATAATTTTTTTTTATTTTTTTTTATTTTTTTAAATATTAAAGGTGAGATCATATATTTAACTTTATTAAAATTCAAATAAACTTCTTATAAAGAAAAACTTGCTTTTAAATTATATATGAAAAATAAAAATTTAAATATATAATTTGTAATCTAAATTTACAAGAATAATTAATACTTATCTGGTATGGGTCCCATAGCTTAGCGGTTAAGTTCCCATATTCTCCACAGTTAAGGTCAACAGTTCAAGTCTGGCTGGAGGCAAAATTGAAAGATTTTAAGTTCTGTAACCTAATAAAAAGCCTGTAATTGAATACGAAGCCTTGTGGTTAAGTCCAAGTGTAGTACAATAATAAAAATAGGAATTTTCGAAAAGAGACCCAATCGTGGAGTGCAGGCACTATGCATAACAAGTGGTTGTTACAGAAGGTTATGGTTATGGAAAGATTACACATGTAAGTTCTTTAGACTAGGACAACACCAACATCCTTATACCTCCCAATATAGGCAGTATCAACATCTCTGCACCTAACTTGTGGAGTACTTGCTTGGAAGGATAATCAATGAATTGTGCAAATAAGTCTTAATTGGGATTCAAGAAGAGGATTTGATTGGGAGAGTAGTCTGACAAGTAATCAAGACTGGAATGGTGAGAGAAGTGGTGAACATGAGGATGGACTGTGATAAAGGATTGGTCTAACCAAAATTGGAAGCACTTCTGGCATAACTGAATAATCTAATTATAGAAGTGAAGATCTTGGAGGCAGGCATATAACCTCCTTATACAATGTAAAAGTACCAAATTGGGTTCTGGTCATACCTATATGGAAGTCTATAATGAACAAGACTAGGGATCAACCAACCAATGTGAGATAAGATCTGCAAGGTAATATGGCATCACTAGGGTCAGTATAACTCTCTGGGCATAATCAGAATTGTCCTGCAGATATTGTCGAATAAGCTAGGAGCTTGCAATGCATAGTAGTATGGTATCACTAAGGTCAGAGGAACTCTCTAGGGATAACCAGAATTGTCCTATTTGTAAGTGCAACAAGTTCTAGTCTTTATCATAAAAGGAAGCACCATGTTAAAGGTTAAATGCAGCATCAAGTTACTGTATAATGTTAAGACCTAGGGCATCTGCAGGAACAGCAGCAGCAGATTTGGCTTGAAATATGGATTGGTCAAAAGACCAATAGCAACAGCAAATCTGGCTTGAGATATGAGTTCATTGTAGATTCTAAACCATTGTCAGAACATCTTAGGGGAATCAATAATAGACAAACCAAAGATGGGAAGATCATAAAGATCAGACATACCTGAGTAGAACCAATTTGGAAATAATACAGTGATAAAAAGATGGGAAATGTAGGGAACAAGGTAATACTAGATATAATTAGATTAAAAGGCAGAAGAAATAAGACCAGGTAAAACATGTGAGTGGAACATATGGGTATGATTTACAGAAGACAGTACCCCTGGCATTTGTGATGCCATATTAAGTTCGGTAGGTATTTTTGTCTGTGTAGTGGTTTAATGTATGCCATAACTGCAAGTGGTTGCCAAGATAACTGCATGCAGGCATGTGATGGACATGCACTTAGGTGCTATAAGGATAACTAAGTGAAGTCAGTAGTGTCAAATTAGATAGTTTATAGTACTAGTAATAATCGATCCTAAAATGTAACCACAAATTTGTATTATATCAAATTAAGGCTAATAAAAACTAACTAGCATTGTTGCCAAAGTTAAAAAAAAAAAAAAAATACTTATCTAAATTTAAGTGTAAGTAATAATATAAAAAAGAAAAATATAATATATAATTTATTAAATAGTCTAAAAGTCAATTTTAATAATAATTTCTAAAATTAAAATAGAATAAAATTAAACTAAAAGAACTATAAGAAAAATTAGTAAATAATATAATTTGAGACTATGTAAAATATAAAATATAGTAAATAATCTATATTTGTTTATATATTTGTTAGTTAAAATAAAAAAAAAGTTTAATAGAAAGAGAATTAGCAGTATAATAAGAAATAAAAGTGTTATGAATAATAAAAATAAAATTAGTAAAAAATAAACTAAATATAATAAAAATAAAAAAAGATATAAATATATATAAAATTTATATAGTTTAAAACTGTTAAATATAAGAATTTCTTTATATAGATCAGAAACAAGATTAATAGACATATTAAAAAAATTTTGTTTAAAATAAAGTTAAGAGAATTAGAAATTAAATAATAAAGTATTTTAATAAAGAATCAAATAGTTTAATAAAATAAAAAACTAGTTTAATAATATTGATAATAAGAAGAAAAGTAAAAAAAATCAATTGATCACTCTTCTTTGTAGATCCCTTAACCAAAAATTAGTAAGAAGCAAAATACAGAAAAAATCACAAAACCTATTAGGAAGCAATACTTAGACCTTTAATAAAAAAGAAAGAGCAACAAAAGTTATACTTAACTAAAAAACAAAGATACAAGTAAAAAAGCTTAGAAGTAGCATAGCTTAGAAAAATAAAAAATTTTAATAAAAACAAATTTTTTATAGAAATTTTAAAAATTCTTGTGACTTTGTCATAAAGATCAATTTAGATTATATAAAAAGTATAATGAAGAAATAAAGTAAATAAACAAATACATATATTGAAATAGTTTATTAAAATAAGCATATAATATAGAAACAATTAAACTAAACCAACTAATAAACAAACAACAATAATCAGTATAAGAGAAAATATATATGAAGTAAGATCTAGAAGCCTATTAGAAAGGATATTAGAAAGATTAATAACACAAAGTTTACAGAAGGTTGGTAACATTAAGCTAGTTAAAACATTAGAAATAACTAATATTATAAAAACAAGAATAGACAAATATACAGCATTACTGTTTATAACAGATGTAGCAAATATAGCAACAATAAAAATATTAAGTAAAGTTATCACAAAAGTTAACAGAAAAAGCAAACTAAAAAATTTTAGCTTCAAGACAGAAGATAACTCACAATAGCAAAAAGAAAGAAAAGCAAAAAGCATGAACAAGTTTAAAAAAACAGCTAGAACAAAAAACAATAAAGGAAAAAAAAAATCTGAAGAAAAATTTAAAATAAACAAAACAGATAAGGAAATAGTAGTAACAAATAGAAAATAAAAATATATAGCATAAGAACAAAATATAGAAGCAAAAAGGAATAAAAAGACTTTATAACAGAACTCAAGTTCTAAAAAAAAAAAAAAAAAAAAGAAAAACAAAGAAAAAGAGTTAACAATATTGCAAGAAGATGCAACAAAAGTACCACTAAAGCAAAGCATCTGGGTATCAGAAAATAGACTATGCAATGATGAAATACTAGTAACTATGAGAATTCCTGTC